GGCTTGAGCAACCTTGTTAAAATAATTATTTGATCAAGTGCCAAATTAGGCTGATCGAAATTAAACGCAACTGTGGCTAATCTAATGTAGTATTTGACTATATTCCGTCCCTCGCATTTCTTTCTGTTAAACTGTTAAATTTTTTCTCTTGATCTTCATGAAATTTATTGTAATTTTAGCTTCGAAAAACGAGAGTTTGCCTACATTTAAGCTTCAATATAAATATCAGACACATCCGTTTGAAAACTCTGGCTTCAAAACTTTAGATTAGAAACATTAAAAAGTTTTGGATTGAAGATTAACGATTGAGGTAGTCGGACTGGTCATGATCGATAATTGAGTTAAGTTAATGTGTAGAATTCCAATGAGTAGGAGTTTTCTTGCGGCATCAGATTTCTATTGCATTTAATTCGGCATAGTAATTCTGAATCCAAAATCAAATTTATATAATTGAGTTCTTTTATGAATACAAATCTTTCGAAAAATGTCAATTAATGTTTAACTTAAAAAAATGAAATAGAAGGCCAACTGATTTAAATTTTTATTGCAAAATAACTCGGAGTTAAATTGTTACTACTCCCAAATAAAAATTGAGAGTGGAGCACCTATGTTTTATGGTGGCTATCGGCGGACCCCATAGGTGGAGCTTATATGATTTATACAGTGAATTAAGGGTGGCGTGCACCACCTATCCCACACCTATAACCTGCCAATGGCCACCACACCCGTAAAGCTCTTCGTACATCAATAACTACCCATTGGCACCGGTGGCGCATCAATGAGCCACCAGTGGCCACCTTTAAAATGAATTCAATAAAAAATTTTCCTTTAATTTCAAATCCGATGCTTCTGCATTTAATGATATTACATCACCCAATCACCATTCTAAGAGCTACGTATGCAAATCTACCATGGCAGTACAAGTAACAATGTCAGACATGTAGCAGGAACATATAATCAGAGTACCATACACATACCTCGTGAGAAATCGACTTGAAGAAGTCCCTGCCTGCAGGATTCGAACTCCGGTCTCCCACACGCGAAGCAGAGCCTCTACCGTTGCACCATCGGAGAGGCCACGGCAGTCGAGTAATTTTAAAAGATTTAACTGAAGCATTGCAAATATTAATTTCATCAAATGAGCAAAGTTAATGCTACCACCGTGATGATTAGATGGCTTCATCACCAATTTTATTTGAACATGCTACTACATTCGAGTAAACACTCGCTGAAAGAAACTTCATTTATCCGTAACGAACGATGTTTCAGCTCAGAGTAAAGGCTACGGGGAAATGCTTAATAAGTATCGAAGTTCATAATGTCAACATTACAACAATTTTGACAGCGGCTTAATTCGATATATTTTCACCAAGAATATTCTGACGTGAAGTAAGGAATTGATATTACACGATTATTTGAAATATCAGACGTGAACTACCTGCACCACTTCTAGTCACAATTTTTCTATAGCTTAATCTTTAGTCTAAAGAATTTTAGTCTTTAATCTAAAATCAAAAGAATTATCAGACTGTATATTAAATTTCACAATCGAAGTCAGGATGGATAACCGAATTTTTACTCGTATCCTCTGCGTAAAAAGGATACTTTTGTGGACAAGCAAATTACCCGGAAAGCACATTTCAAGCAGGACTAGCGACTATAGATAGGTAAAGATTAGTTGGAAGCTCAACGTCGACGCACGTCAAGCCAACCGGTATGAACGTGTGCTTACTCACACGTCGCTCTCTCGCTCTCTGCCCATGATGCCCCGGTATGAACGTGTGCTTACTCACACGTCGCTCTCTCGCTCTCTGCCCATGATGCCGAGCCGCTGTGCTTTACAAGGAAGAGGAGCCGCTGTTGACTACGTCAACGTGCCTTTTGAGTTTAGATAAATGGGGCAACTTGAGAATATTGTAAATATAATGGAACACACTTAATCGACCCATACAATTTAAACTTAATAATAGACTAAGTAGTCTCAATTGATCGCAATATTTCCAACATAGCCAGTTGGTGCATACGCAAAATTCTTAATAAATTTACGCAACATTTCAGGTGAACATGAAAAATTGGATTCGCCGTCATGTATGGAAAAACTGTATTTATTGCCATCAAATTTTTTCATTGTTCCTCGGACAATTATATCAGGAACAGTCTGATACATGGCCAGTGGCTCCACTTTGGCTCAATAATTTTGTGAACACCTTGCTTCTCTGTCAGCTTTATTGGTGCCTACCTAATTCACGCAAAATTTTCTTAACATAACTAATTCTTAAAAGCCAAGCACACAAAACGAAGTCATGGTTTCGTCTTGATCTCGAATGACCCGCAATCCAATGACACCTTTCTACGTTGGATAAATTACTGTGGCGAATACCTTCGTGCATTGTGTAGGCAAACGGTTTTCAGTGGCTTAAAAGAGATTTGCCTGCAATGTGCTATCGATTATTCAGACCTTACAAATCAGCGATGATTCATAGATGACTGTCACCTTTACTCGCCACCCTTTCGATTTATTGATGTTTTATTGTCGATTTTTGGCAAATCTGGCCACTCACCATTACGCCACCTATAAACTACTATCGCCACCTATAATCATCGGTGCACCACCCTTAATTTTTATTTGGGCTTAGTGTGTCACACCTTAATTTCCAAAAGTCTAACCGATGGCTCGCATGAAACTTGCGTTCTTAGTCATCATCTTAACACAAGTGGTGGAACATCAGACCGGTTGACGTCTAATCTACGTTCAAATAGACGGCAGGGGCCGGTGTTTTGTGTGAAAACATTCCATTATCACGTTGCACACACACATATAAATCTCGCCGACACTGAAATCTCGGTCCTATTGACTCCCATCAGTCATAAATCTTTTGTCATAGTACATAAAAAAGTAGGAGGAGATTCTCTAACGATGGAGTTATTTACAAAGAAAAAACAGAAACAACTGCAGAGAACAAAGACTTTGAAAACAAGACTACCGGGGCGACTAAAAGCTGAACACTAATTTCGGTTCATTGTTTTCAAATTCGAAATGAATAAATTTTTTGCTACAAGGTTTCCGAGCTTTGCATACAACTTCTTAAGTCAGTAACAAGTTTTAATTACAGTCACTTTTCTCTACTGGAAAAACCAATGTCCAATTGAAAAACTGTACGAATGACTACAATTTGGCATAAATTTCATGAAATCGAATTGAAAATGAGTGCTGTGTCAATATAACCTTAGCATAGATATTATAAAGCGCGGCATATACGCACAAAACATACAAGATGATTCCGTGAGTGTGTAGTGTGGACAATATTTTTCAGCACAAAATTTTAGGGCAAAATAATTGTACCTTGATTGTAAATCGATGCGATGTTTCATCGCGTTTACTTCTAATATTTATTACATACAAGGGTTGTAGGCGAAGCAAACTAGCTGCCAGACAGCAGTCCAATTTCTGAAGAAACTCGTGTCTAGAGAAATAAGCCTCTCCAAAAAAATTTCTTTTGCAAAATCTTGACTCATAATTACAATGAATAAATTTTGCAATATTACATCGAATATTACTGTAATATTAGGAAAGTTTTTGAAATCTTGTTGCTAGAAATGCTATTCTTAAAAGAATTTGTTTCAAAAATTTTATAGAAGAATCATAATTATCAAATACGAGAGAAGTGATTCAATTTACGCACCTCTAAATAAGGAGTTCAAAAATATCAATTGAACAGAATGATTATTTTAAATATTTATTAAAGAATATATTGCCATGAATCTATCTAACTAGAAGACCTTATAAAACGTATATTTTTCATCACTTCACAAATGCACATACGTGAGTTTTACAGTATATACGCATTAATGTCTAATAACTCCAGGGATTGCATCGTTGCTATCAAACATTATTTGCTAAGGAAAATGATTTTAAAATTTTTAATTGCATTTTTAGAACAAATAAATTTTATCATCCTGGAGAAGTAATAAAGTTTTTCGACGAATTATGCACCAACGACCAGTCTCAACCTAATATCGAAATAGTCAGCTATTTGTAATATTGTTCCCCATTAAATCGTAAACAGTCCGTGAGCTCAGCATTGCGCATTTCTTGAATTCCAAAAGAAATAAGGCGTCACTCTATTTAATTTAATTTAATGTCTTTAATTTACCTTTAAATTAAAACTCTCTCGTAAGTTCTCAAAAGTTCGTAACATTTGAATTTGCAAACCCGCATACAAGTTAGCACATGGTGCATAAAATTATTTTTGTAAGAACTGAAAGTAAATTAAGACTAAAAAAAATTATACGTCTTGAAGACGCATGCGTAAAACTTGCATTACAAAAAGTTTTTAGAGAACTGTTGTTTTGTTGTTTGTAATTTTTAGTCATCATAAAAGTCAGTAATCTCTCTGGAATTCCGGCCAGTAAGCGGCCGCATAACAGGCAATGTCTTTATTCGTACAGCCATCAACTAGTGAAGTAATCATAAACAATAAATATTAAAGTCTGCCGTAGTGATGGAAATTAATTACAAAGTTTGTAAATATTTTCTTGGTATTTATAGACTATGTGCGCCTAAAATGATCGCATATCAAACTTTTCAGGGATTTATTTTGATTTAGTTTACTGTATAAACTTATCAATAAACAATAAACTTATTTATGAACATATTCCCACTTTTAAAAATAAAACTAAGATCTACGGTATTTTTCAGACAATTTCGATTCGAGGATATTGATTGTGAATAATTTTATAGTTATTAATTAAGATCAGACGAGTATAAGTTATTCTTTTGAGGAAAAATGAGCATTCCAACAAAAATATCTTGTAAATTGCAAAAAAATGTTGATATTCAAAATTATATCATATTAAAAACTATATTGATCAAAATTAAATGAAAATTACCCTTCCACTCCCCGTGCCTCCACTCTTCCATTCCCCCATTTTCATTACTCGTCGAAGTTCCGTTTTACTTAAATAATTCTCATTTTCATTTATTTTCTATTAATTATTTTACTGCAAATTCTCTGGGATCATATTTGTACACTTCCTTCTCCCCATCCTCTCTTCACCTCACCCATCCACACAGTATATATGGAGAGTGCGATCACACGTCATCATAGTGAGACGTCTTCTCTTGTCAGCTGGTCAAGGTGAGCTCTGAGATCCAACGCCTTTATTTATTGTCTGCCTTGGAATTTAAGGCATAATTTTAATATAATTCGATTGCGAAGAAATAACAGAAAAATTATGGTTTAACGAAAATGTCATCTCTCGCCAGTGTTAGATCAATAAAATGGTTGTTGACAAGTTTGTAATAACGTGATGGTCTTCTTTCTCGAGTAAACTTTTCGTTCTTAAAGCATAATTTTTACTGCACTGATGATGATGTTGCATATTGACGGTCGTGTTGTTCATTCGTACGGCTGTTACAATTTCCGTGTCGTTACTGTTTATGGCTGTAACCAAAAGATATTTATATATATATATATATCCAAAAATGATATAATAATATAAAAATATCATATAAAATATATTATTAATATGATAATAATATAATATAAAAAATAACATAAAAATATAAAAGATATATTTTGTTACTTGGCCTTGAATCCACCAGCCAAGATTTAGACTCAATCTGCCCCACGGCTCGCCAACCAACAATGAATTGACCAGCATTTCAAACTCAATCACTCAATCTATCGTAAAAACATATCAATAATATTTCATATCTTAATATTAATGTATTGCATTTTATTCACAGTTACAAAAAATTTTCTGAATCGTAAATCATCTTGTCTAAAGTCATTTTTTTCGTGTTCATGTTCTTGGCGCTGAGTTGATGAGTTATGGGCATGAACGATATAAAAAAAACGAATAAATTAATGTACATTGACTGCTTTGAAAGTTAAGTGGTGAATAGCGTGTGCAAGCCCCGGCCGCAAATATACTTTTTAGCGCATTTTCTCATTTATGGAAAAAATCCACTATTGTGCTCGCCATGTCCGTCTGTCTGTCCGTCTGTCTGTCTGTCCGTGACCTCAAGTTTTCGTCGACGAGAAAATGCGCTCTCTGTCACTCACTGCAGTGAGTACTGAGTTATATTTTTTTCTTTATCAGATGAATTAATGATAAAATAATGAGAAGAACATACGTAGGAAGCAAGTAATGGTTTGCATTTTAGTATTCATGTTGCATTTGTATATCATCCATGCTGTTCGAAACTCACGATTTACTAGAATTTACTTCAACAGGAATGAAGCATGAATTTAATGCTTAGCTGATATTCTTACAATAAAATTATCAAAGAGGGTATCTTATATCTCCCTCCTGCATTTCTTTCCAAAAGTCTGTCATTTATATACTTTTTATATAATTAGTAATAGATGGCAGAATTTAATTGTTTATACACGTGCGATTGATGACCAGAGAATTAGTTGATTTATATTATCAGGGAATGGAACTTTTCTTCAGATGACTTTTTTTTCTTTTTCGTGACACCCTTGACAACAACGTCAAATTCCAAACCAAGAGCAACAAAGGCCCCTGCAAAAATGCGGGAGTTATCCGAGAGGCCGGTGTCTATTTTTATATTATTCGGCTATAAATTTTGCTTCAAAGAATGTTGTAGACTTCTTCATGTTTTGAACAACATCGGACAAATTGGACAAACAATCAAGACACCGAGCCGCTGTCTCATTAGCTACCTTCAAACTACTGTAGAGGGCAGGTGAACCACGCGAGACAAGCTTACAACCAGACCGTCACTGGCATTTTGCTGAACGTACTCACCAGCATCGTGATCATGCAGCGGCCTGACAACAACCGACCGACGATAGCTGAACCTCTCATCTCTACAGATTGGACTCCAGCTATCTATTTTCTGACTGCCGGATTTGTCTGAACTCTTAGTTTTCCGAATAATTTTTGGTCCAAAATTTTACTGTGTATCCTATTTACTTATATTATGTACTTATTTCCACCAAAATGTCAATATTTAATGCCTCTTCCAACTTGAAAATGAATGTTTGTTGCATTCGAAACGTCGTTAATAAAGAAAGACTACTTCCTGAAATTTGCCTTTTGATCTACTGTCATCTGAAGAAAAGTTCCATTCCCTGATAATATAAATCAACTAATTTAATTCTCTGGTCATCAATCGCACGTGTATAAACAATTTTATATAATATACATTTTGATATAATATATATTATAATATACTTTTATAATATAATTTTTTACATCATCTGATTATATACAAAAAATCTGTCTTTTTATAATATAATAATCTTTTTAAATATATATGATTACATGAGTTATAATAGCCTAAAGTCATTTGATAAGAAATAACACCGACGATTGTCATGCATTTAAGTTTAGAACTCATTTTTCTGCTCGTCAAAAATCGTAACTCGCTGCTTATTTCGCATGATCACTTACGTTCTTTTACCTTAATTTATTGCAATGAATACATTCAAAATGTATGACAATACCTTACACGAGCGTTTTATTTTCTTCAATAGTGCAGTGATAGTTGTCAAAATGGTTCGACGGGAGACGCTTCAAACGTTCCTGATGCTCTGCCTCTGCTTGGCGAACATCGATGCCGCTCCAATGGTACAGTTCCTTTTCGAAAGATTGGTATTGCTTCACGTTAAGACTGTCCATTTTAAACAATACTTCAGAGGGGTCAATTAAGCTTTCGGAGCTGGAAAATTTGTATGAAAATCATGGAAATCTCTGCACAATAATTGAGTAATGTTTCAAAGAAACCATTAATAAACACGATAAAATATGTGCAAAAATTCTTCGATAGAAAGAAGTAAGATATTTGTAAATAAAATTAATGGCACTTGCCATGCTACCATATTTTAAGAAATACAGTAATCGAGCGTTAATCCATATTCATTTAGTAACATACGCTAAGATAGTATAGAATTAACTGACTTTATTATAGCTCGGATTAGTGATGTACTTTCGCAAACTTCACGCAGGGATTTACAGGCAATTGAAATATATATCATTTCTGTATGTAGTTCAACATGACGATGCACTTTATTTCATTTCAAAATGTTTTCCAGGATGTGCAACGCCGAGCAGACGGATCCGTCTTGATAGCCGACATCCTGTATTCTGCGGAGCAATGGGACCGTTTTCTTGATAAAAACTTGTTGGCAATGGAAAGGCTTTGGCCCAAAAAGGACGGAGTTGTGAATATTTTCTACAAAATATCGGATCGTGAGTCTATACCAGCTTAAAGCGTTGCAAAATCAATCTTGCATTGAATGCAGTTTGATCACCTTTTTCGTTTTCCTTTCGTATCAAACTAGCAAGCGTATGCTACGAAGCCGAGGAAAGAATGAATGAAATTTGAGAATTATTTTTCCCAATTCATTTTCCTGAATTACGTCCTCCGGAATCTTTTCAACCCGAATCCAATTAACAGTTTCGAAATAAAACAGGCCGAAAATGAATATGGGCATGGACAAACACTTATTTTGCATGGAACTCTTATTTCCTTACTATTTTGATCACTGAACATTTTATTCAGGCATCAAGTACACAATCTCAAACACGAAAACTTGACAAGCTTACAAGATCTAAAATTTTCTACTGCTTGCCGTGAAATATGAACTTTATGAACCTTTCGTTCTACCTGAATATTGTGGAAGATAATCTCACAAATGAGCAGAACTTTAAACGTTTGGCAAAACTACGTGTAAAATAATGAAATACCGCCTATCACAAGTGTTACTGAGCTTTTATTCATCTGTACCATTAACGGGGGATGAATAAGAGGAATATATGTATATATTAACAGTTTTTAACATTTTTTTCACTTTGACTCGGCAGCGGGAGTAGACACGACTGCTCTAAACTCAGCGATCGCTGCCTGGGAGGCCAAGACATGCATCAAGTTCTCTAAGATGGCAGAGTCAGATGAGCGCGTCGATTACATGAACTTCTGGCTCAATAAATTCTGTTACGCCACCATAGGTTACTGGGAGGGCAAACCTACACCTGTCAGCCTCGCAGATTGCCCTGTACGTGCCACTGTGAATGGTGAATTATCTTTTCTTTTAAGCAACATGTTTCGTATACTTCATCTGTTATCAATATTGTTTGAATAAGAAGCAGCAAGTCGCGACCGTCTGCAAAAACAGTTAACATAACATAACATATTGATCTCGGCGCTTAAGTGCAGGTCTGATGTGGCCTGTCGCCGATTCTTTTTTTTTTTTCGTGCCTTGTTCACAGAAGATCTAAAGCCGTGTCATTTGACCGGATATTTTCACGACTGACGAAATTTTGAAGTAGCTACTAGACTTCCACCGGGTTCGATATGGTGCTAGGCATTTCAAATCTGAACATATATTTTTCCATAGCTTTATCTAGTCTGTTCTTGAACGCGTTCATACTTGGAGCGCCAACGATGTCATCGGGGAGGCTGTGCCACATGTCGGTGATTCGAAGCGAGAAGAAATTTTGTCGCGTGGAGAAGTTGCAGCGTAGTTTTTTTAGTTTATAGCTGTGGCCCCTGGTGTTGCTTCTTGTTTCAAATTCTGTTTCAAATTGTTGAAAATTTACTTGTAATTTTAATGTTAGTTAAGTGGCAACTTTAGTGGCATTGTCTATATTGTGCGTTGAAGGTTTAATATAGAGCAATAACGGTCCCAAAATGAGCTTAAGATAATATTTGAAAGATTGTTGAAGGTATTTCTTGCATGTAGACCGTTTTATTCTTGAAATCAAAATCACTTCCAAATGATTATAAGACTTAACGGAAACTTGGTTTCATAACATTATACCTACAATTTAGCGTTTGGTTATTATATATTCTGTTGAAAAAGAGGAGTACCGAATGAAAATTTATGACTTGACCACTGGGTTCCAATCCAGTTACGTTATTTCATAAGCTAGATGATTATTTACTTATTATAGCATATGTGTACATATATGAACAAAGCCCAGTTTTGTCATTTTAATATGGAATATTTAATAAGCATGTACTTTATCACAAAATTTCATGAACGTGAGTCCTGAACTATGATGTTTATGGTTTTATCGTAGGGTGAGTGATGTATTGAATGTTAAAAGGCATTTGAATAATTTATCTGCATATCAAGGCTTATCCAAGGTCCAATATAATTCCAGTTCTCAAATAACAACAGTGGGTTTACGAGGTTTTTTTTACAGGAAAGGGGACCGACTCACGAGATCGGCCACGCGTTGGGGATGGTGCACGAACAATCACGAAGCGACAGGTTTGTGAGGGTGTACGAACGATTACGTGATGTGAGGTATGTGAGGGTTTGTTTGTGAGGGTATACGAACGATTACGTGATGTGAGGTATGTGAGGGTTTGTTTGTGAGGGTGTACGAACGATTACGTGATGTGAGGTATGTGAGGGTTTGTTTGTGAGGGTGTACGAACGATTACGTGATGTGAGGTATGTGAGGGTTTGTTTGTGAGAGTGCACGAACGATTACGCGATGTGAGGTATGCAAGTGCATGAACTTAGCGGTTTATATTAGGAAGGTATAGTGATAAGAGAAGAAAATTTCTATCACATTACCGGATCATATAAATACATTGACAATTATAAAATCTAACCTTTCAAAAATGCTTCCTAAATAAATATTTAAAAGCAAAATATACACGCATGACCAACATTACAAAAAACTTATGACCTAACATTCACTGTATTCACTTATTTCTATTTACACGAGGATGTACTTTACACATCGACGGCATGAACATTACTAAAGTAAATTGGCTGATTTGGCTAAAGTAACCTTAGATTCACTCTAATAAAAACTTAATAAATAAATAATCCATATAATCCCTAAAGACAACCTTGAACTTTGTTTCTACGAAGCTTGGTTAATACTTTGCTCGAATTGAAGACAATTGAATAATTGTGACCTTTGGCCATTCACATAGACGCATTTTCCGTCAGTGCCATTGGGCGACACACCGCCATTGGGCGACACAACCATTATAATTTATCCTTAACCGAAAATATCCTTAAACTGAAAATTCCCATTATAATTTATCCTTAATTACCTTTATTTATCTTTTCCTACGACCGTTTGTTTTCGAAGTTGATTTAGGCCGCGCCATACGCGAAACTCACCACTGCATTATAAAATAAGAGCAGTATTTGTATGTATAGTAAGATTTGGTGTTGAAGATTAGGCCTATTCTGCCCTATCGTCTTTTCATGTAGTTAGTGTAACTGATTTTTATCCAGGAATAAAATAATTGGTCTCTGCGAACAGAAGGAATAAAAATGAACTTTGAAGCTTTAGATTATAAAAGCCATATTGTTCATCAGCTTTTACTGACTAGCCTTCACTTCAAAATCTATTTATAAACTATCAGAAGAGATACTCTCGGGATTTCGAAGATTTACTAATACTAATACACACGTATTAGTGATGCCTTGAAGGATTTCACTAAGACGCTTTGTTTTCTTTCACCGAATTTCACCATTTGCGTCACTGACTTGACTGAATTCACTGACTCTCACTCTTCGCTCTCCGAGACTCCTTTTCAGGCTTCTCATTGCTCAATTAAAGTCAAAACCTACAGAAGAAACAACGAAAAAGCTCGCGCACGAAAGTATGTTGCCATAAACTCACTTCACTTCCACACTGAGTGAACAATAATCTGTACTTCACATTTTCGTTGCTATTTTTTAAGATGAAATTTACTTTTGGCAATACATTTTTGCAAAATAATTTTTTTCGTTATTTTATTATTCACTTGTTTCGATGTGAATTTAGAGTGAGGCAGACGCACATTTCCTTTTCATTACTTCACAATTTTATTGATCAACTCCAATTCAATTGCATTTAAAAAATTTAATCGAACATGTGTTGAATATTGAATATGTCACATCATCACGAGTTTAATTTTGAACCCTATTTGAGACAAATTCCAGAAATTAATATATTTAAATTCTGCTTCAAATTCTTGAAAAATTCATTTATCATTAAATTATTTACCGTATGAACTCTAAAAAGTGTGCGCGATAGCAAGCACTATCGATGTTTTTTAACAATAATATTCCATTTTGTCGATGATATTGATTATATGGTATTGGATGTGCTGCACAATTACTCGTAATTTATTCTAATTTTATTTTCAGGGACGAAAACATGATTGTGATCGAGGAAAACATTAAGCCAGACCTTAAATATAATTATAAAATATTACCGACCATCAACTTCGGCGTCCCTTACGACTACTACTCTCTCATGCAGTACTTTGCAGGGGTGAGTCATACATGCACTACCATGACTGGGAGAGTTATACATGCACTACCATGACTGGGAGAGTTATACATGCACTACCATGACTGGGAGAGTCATACATGCACTACCATGACTGGGAGAGTTATACATGCACTACCATGACTGGGAACATTGCAGGATCAGTGTGGGCGATGCGCCTGCTAACGTATTTCAGGAACAGACTCGAAGGACTCACACATGCCAAGTGGTTACTGGTTTCTATCTGACATCCTACCCAACTGTGACTTTTCAATTATTTCTACTAATGAATGTTATGCTTTTCCATATGAATGATCACATCAAATTATTCTAACCAATCATAAATGAAAAAAATCTTTACTTTTGAAAGAATTTCTCGAGATGCAGCCCGCAGTACGGGGACATTGCCTAAGGACTAAATTTTAAAGAAAGAAAAGTTTTTTTTCCAAAAGCCAAAGTTTTTGTCGACAATGATTGGTCGAATGAATTATACATTCAGCTAAAAAGTTGTTTATTCTGTCTCCTCCCATGTCAACACCTAACCGTTGCCATTTGAATTTAACTCAAAATAAACTGGAGTTGTGAATAAATAAACAGCTCATGTGCAGTTGCAACGATTACAATACACAATTAGAGCAGCTAGGTAAAGGATTCGGCCTTACATCATCATTTTCATAGACTGTTTTTCATGCGTTCATCTGAAAACAACAATTTCTGAACCATGGCTAAAATGATTGTATGAATTATTTATATATTTCAGTATTCAAAATTACTGAAATATCAAAGAATTCTATTTGATGAAGCTGCTGAGACTTATCCTTAGACTGAGCTACTATACACTTATTGTTGAACACCATATATATCTATATATGTAATACAACTTGGTATTTTCTTACATGCTGCCTTAAGTAATTTTCATTCTACTTTTTTATCCTACAGAGTTTTAGCGTGAACGGCAAACGCGTGATGCTCGCTAAAGATGCTCGTTTTCAAAATCTCATGGGACGTGGCGATAAAATTACACTGATGTTTCCGGCTTGCCAGATGTTTGTTTGCCTTTTGAATTGCGCGCTTGCCATTGCCACTCGCCTCCTCACATCCACTGTGCTCCCACCATCCTTAGTGACGTTTGCACCCAGATATGTGAAGCTCTCCACTTCCTCCACCTCTCTCTCTCCAGCCCTCAGCTTGTTGTTGCTCCTGCTGTTGACCTGCAATATCTTGCATTTCTTGGCATTCAATTTTAGCCCCTCTTTTGCTGCATTACTCTCTAACCTGGTTGTTTTTTGCTGCAGGTGATTCATTATTGAAGACAGAAGGGCAATGCCATCTGCAAAGTCAAGGTCCTCCAGCATGGTCGTTAAATTCCATCGGAGCCCAGTTCTTTCACCTTCCACGGTCCTGCGCATTACCCAGTCGATCACAAGGAGGAACAAAAATCCTGACAGGCAACACCCCTGTTTCACTCCTGTCCTTACTGGAAACCACTCTGTTGTTTCGTTCTCATCAATCACGGAGCACTGAAAGTCCTAGTAGAGTCCTGACTAGCCGGATCAGCTTCTGAGGTATTCCATATTGGCGCATGATGGCCCAATGGCTGTCTCGGTGTATTGAAAAACCAAATGATTATAATATGATTCTATTTTATTTTGATATATTATATTATCTATTTTTTGCATTTAGACGTTTTTATCAGCCTATTTCTTGTACATTGTAAACGGGGTGTTGAGGTAAGCTTATTTTAACTGAGTTACCCCTCGCGGAAAAGTCGTGGGTGTTCAGTGTTACTGGGTTGGGGTGCACATGTTTCGACTCGAATTCAAGTAGCTAGATCTGGGCTACCAAGAATAAACGCCACCGTAGTTCAGGAGATAACTCTTAATGATTGCCTCTAACGGACTAATAAGGGCATAGGTGAAGTACTTGGTTAGTTCCAGTTGCTGGTAGCGCTCGGTAGGGCTAGTACCCGTGCCGAGCCCTTCTCGTGTTGTGGGGGCTAATAACCTCTGCACTCGAGTATATTTGTCAGCGTTTTGGTACAGCTTCTGCGGTACCGTTCGCGCCTCTCGTGTCGTGGGAGTTAACACCTTCCACGCTCGAGAGTAATCGGAACTTGGCAGTGCATTAGGGCTTGAACCCCTAGTCACTGCGGCTGGTCGTCGGCATCTCGGATCGGCTAGTTCCCGTACCATTTGCTGTCCGTTTTTATGATTTGGCAGTGCATTAGGGCTAGAACCCCTAGTCTCTGCGGTTCGTTGTCGGTATCTTGGTGCGGTTAGTTCCCGTGTCATTTACTGTCCGTTTTTATGATTTGGCAGTGTATAAGGCTAGAACCCCTAGTCTCTGCGGTTCGTTGTCGGAATCTTGGTGCGATTAGTTCCGGTATCATTTGCTGTCCGTTTTTGTGATTTGGCAGTGTATTAGGGCTAGAACCCCAGTTTATTCATCCTTTTTATTTGCGATCATTGGCCAAGTGTTCGGGGTCAGAGAATGCTTATTTATTTATTGACTAGTCCCCAACAACGGACAGACGGACGGACGGACGAACGGAAATGACGAGCACAATAGCGCCTTTTTTTCCATACATGAGAAAATGCTCTAAAAATGAAGAAAAATTATGAAATAAAATTGAATTATAATGGAAAAGAAGGGCCATTCAATTTTTTTATGAATATAACCTGTTGATATCTTTATATGATTATTCCTTTCTTATGACGTGACTTGGATCCTTAAGCATCCTCTCTCGGCCCTTGGTTTCAAAAACCGTTGTAAATCAAATGATTCCTCCTGTATAGATTGAACCTTCCATTCAGTACGTACCGAAGCACGTTTTGGTACGATATTGCACGAACCTATTTATTGCATATGAAATGATTTACAGAAAAAAGCGTTAGATCAGAAGACCTATTATTAGTACTTCAAGAATTCAGCATCGACAAAACAGAGGTATGACAAATATATATAACTCAGTACTCACTGCAGTGAG